GCGGATGCATGGCCGCCGGTGTACTTTCTGGCGAGGCTCCGGTGAAGTCTGTGGGCGTGACAAGTGTCTCAGTGGAGGTTGGGGTGATGACACGCGTGAGACGCGCTGGCAGAGGGAGATTGTGAGTGGGCGAGGTGTCAGCGTGTGAAGCTTCTGAGTTGATGTGGTGGGGACCTCTCAGTGGGACGCGTGGAGAGCTTCTTATAGTGACAAGTGTCCTCTGCTGGACAAAATGGACAAAAACAAATCTGATGGACTCTTGGGCCTCCAAAAAAATGCTTCCTGGGCCCACGAAAAAACTGGACAAAAAACCCTAAAAAAGACTGAAAAACTGATTAATAAAAATGTGGCTTAAAACCTGATTAAGTCCTATCAATCACTAATTAAACTAATGACTAATGATGACCTAATTAACTAACTAAGTCCTAATTAACTCTAAAAAAGATTACAATCTAATAAAACTCTAATAACCCCTATTATCTGAAAAAAGATCATTAAAACTCTAATGACTCCTATTAAAAGATTAAATCCTAATTAAATCTAAAAAGTGATTAAAAATCTAATTAACTCTATATTAAACCAAAAATGATTAAGACTCTACTAATCTCTAAAAAAATTCTACAAAATTCCCATTAAAATCTATACTATTATTTAATATCTACTTAAAAAGGGAAACTATATTAAAACAATACCCTATTTATTTCTATTTATTAAAATCCCTATTAACATAAAAGAAAAATCTATAATATTTTCTATATTATCTAAAACAATTAAAAACAAATTTAAAATCTAATATATTCTAAAAATGATTAAAAAACTATTAAACCTATTTTAAAAATCTATATAAAATTCTAAAAAGAGATTTAAACTATTAAAAAAATACAAAAACCCTATTTAAATTCCAGAAAAATCTATAAAGCCTATTTAAAATCCACAAAAGTCTATTAAAACCCTAAAAATGCAGACAAATGCAAATGACCACCATAAAAGAGCGCACGAGACCAGATCGAATCGAACAAAGAACCCCGGGCATCAGAATATCCCAAAATCACTATGCAAGCTAAAAATCACCGAGGAGCACACAAATTTCCCGAGAATAAAACCCTGATGATCTGGACTGGATCTGCCATATCTGATAGACGAAAATCAAGCTGCAACTCTGATATCCTCTGTCTGTGCCCAAATATCATGCGTCTGATTTGCGAATATGAATTTAAACCATGAGTCAGACAGGAGAATCGGTTGGTCAAATTTTAGGGTGCAACATCTGTTATGGATAATTGGTTGTAGGCGTGATGCTTTGTTGCATGGTTGTTGCACAGTTGTTGTTGTTGTTGTGTTATAGTCCATAATAGTTGCATAGCATATCATTTGGCCTGGATTGGCGACGGTTGTGCCTGTATTGGCGTTATTAGGAGTGTTGGCTCCTAGATGGGTTCGGGGTGTTGGCCCTGTCCCGAGTTATGGAGAGTTGTCTCCCGAATTTTTATGGAGAGTTGTATCCCGAATTATTGTGGAGAGTTGTCTCCCGAGTTTTGGAGTGTTGGCTCCTAGATGGGTTCGGGGTGTTGGCCCTGTCCCGAGTTTTGGAGTGTTGGCTCCTAAATGGTACCACATGCATATGCACAGTTGAGTCGCATTGATGAGTTGCGTTGTTGAGTTGTTTTGATGAGTTGCTGAGATATGATGATAATTGTTGTGGTTATGAATAATGAATTGTTGCAGTTTAATTATTACTAATATTTATGCGGACTACTGGAATTATAATACTGTGATAATATTCTGACATGACTTTTATCATGCCTTATGTTATATTGTTGATATCTCACTCTTTATGTTGTATGTTACCTCCGTTGGTGGTAATTTGCAGGTAACTCGGAAGAAAGTGTAGCTTTATGTTTAAGGTCGTTGGTCGCTCTGATACGTAGCACTCTGGGGGGGATGAACGATTAATGTTATTATTTTAATTGAATTCCTTGTTGCTGAATTTTATTAAGTACTATGGCAAATAGATTGGTTGTTTCTGATAATGCCAAATGTTGCTTGGATGCATAGTTGTTTTAGCGAATTGATGCAAGATAATTACTTGCTGAATTTTAATGGAATTTAATTAGTACGAATCGTTGGAAGTGTATTATAACATGGCGTTTATGATTAAAATGTTAAACAAGTTACCGTTGTTTGTTCATCCGAATTTTGTGCTACGTGTGTTAGTAAATGAGCTTTTGCAGGTGTATGTGTTTTGGTTAAGTGTAGAATGTGACACCTCTGCTGCGTCTGAGAATTTGGGAGCGTGACGGTCGTCACAGCTCCATGACGCTCGTCATGACCGTGACGGTCGTGACATCCATGACGGTCGTCATGAGATTTTATTTGCTGCACTCTGAATTGTTTTTGTTGTTTATCTTATTTCCGCGATAGTTTAGAGTGGGGTGTTACATTGTGCATGTGAAATAACTCAACAAATTGTATGTGATATTGCGGTTGATGTATTTTGTGTTTTGATTGATGAAATTGGTGATGTTGCTGGTAAAGAACAAATGGTTGTTGTTGTTCGCTATGTTAATAGTGAAGGTTTGGTAAAAGAAAGGTTTCTTGGCATTTTGAGTGTTAAAGAAACAAGTGTTAAGTCACTTAAGGAGGCACTTGAAAAGTTTTTGTCTATTAATGGCTTGAGTTTATCTAGCATTAGGGGACAAGGATATGATGGAGCCAGTAATATGCGAGGTAAGTTTAGTGGTTTGAGAACTTTAATCCAAAATGAGAACCCATTTGCTTATTATGTGCATTGTTTCGCCCATCAACTTCAATTGGCACTTGTTGCATGTGCTAAGACTCACAAAGATGTTAGTGGTTTTTTCGGTAAGGTCAATATTCTTGTTAATTTCATATGATCTTCTAACAAGAAACAAGAACTGCTTCGAGACAAACAAGTATTCTGAATTACGGTTCTCCCGTTACGTCAACAATACGAAAACAACGTTTCACACTTAGAAGGTCATTCAACGCATCTTCAACTCTCAAATTGTTTAAAGGTCTAATTATACCAATATTGTATTCCACCTCTTACTTTCTTTAGTGATCACCAGAAGTCACTATCTACCCTTTATATACTCGACCTCACAATTTGTTGTCGTAGCACACATACCAGACACAAGTCTCAAAACTACTCGATCAATTTAATTCCTTGACTTATCCAAACAGACGTATGATATGGAGCTCTCAATATCAGACTAGTTCCCGTAACTAAGTCAATCACAACTCCACTTCACGTCCTGACTGTACATCACTATCTTGTCAGGATAACTTCCAGACAACCATAATTAATCGGCAAGCCGCCAACTTCCCACTTTCATTAACAACCAACGTTGTTTTCGTATTGTTGTCGTCATTTGCAGCTTTTGATATGAAAAAACTATTGAGGATGGTTGAACTTTATCCAAATGATTTTGTAAATGTGCCGGAAATGGTGGTGCGACATCAACTTCAGATTCATGTTAGAAATATTCGATGTGACCCAAAATTTGCAAATTTAAAAAGAACTTTAGATCTTTGTGCAAAACTTGTGGAAACAAGTAAGTGCAACACATTTGATATGGTTTATAAGCTTTTGAAGTTGGCTTTAGTCTTACCGGTAGCAACTGCAAGCGTGAAATGTGTATTTTCAGCTATGAAGTTTGTGAAGAGTTAACTATGTAACAAAATGGATGATCAATGGTTAAATGATCGTCTTGTAACTTTTATAAAAAGAGATATTTTTGGAACAATTAATAATGATGTTATTTTAGCTCATTTTCAAGAAATAGATAGTAGGCGATTTTCATTGTAAATGTACTTTATTAAACAATATTATTTCTTATATTGAATATAATTTAATACATACTTTCTTTCATGTTTAGCCACATCAATATATAAGGTCTGGATCTGCCCCTGCTCTAAAACAATAAACGTGTAAAATAGATCTTTTAGAGAAGAATACATTAAAGTGTGTTAAAATATTTCGAAGATGTATCTCTAGATTAGTTAACGTTTTAAGTTAAGACAATGTCGTTCAGAAATACATCTCCGAAATATAAATGACATTTTAGAATTTTCTATAGAATTTCTTTCCACTCCATAAAAGAAAATAAGAAATTACCTTCTAATAATTGCAAAATTTTTGTTACAATTCAATCCCATTTTCACAATTTTGAAGTGATAATGACGCCGTAACTTATCTGATCACCTTTTTAATACGGCGTGAAAAATCTAATAGACCAATCAAAATTTTAGATATATATTTTTATTAGATATTTTGAAAAATCCAATAAAACCATATTAATTTCTAAAGTTTTAAAAAACTGATAATTCATATTCGATAGAACAATAAAAAAACCAAATTAATACTATCAAATTTTTTAATAAATTCGATATATTTTATACTTTTTCAAATATTTGAAAAGCCGGCATAAAATCATAATTTGTGTTTCAAAAATCTATAATTTACACAAATATTTGAAAAATCAAATATAAAAATATGATTTTATACTAATTTTTTCAAGGATCCGATATAAAATCATAGATTTATGAAAGCAAATTACAATTTTACATAAATTAAAAACATAGGTGTAAGATTATACTAGCTCCACCATAAATCCGGGAAAAATTCAAATCAAAAATCAAAAACTATGAATTTTGTAAAAATTCAGTATATTAATTCAAAAATTTGGAATACCAGTTTTTTCAAAAATTCAAACAATATTTTGGTAAATTTCTCCACTAACTACCCACATTATCATCATTCAAACCAATCTGTTTTTCAAAAAAAAAAATAAAACTTGTTGCTAAAAACAGAACAAAAGAAAGGAAAAACAGAACAAAAGAAAGGAAGTGATATATACTAGCTCTACCATAAAAACCATTACTCTCCACAGTATTTTCAATGTAAAAGGCGTCAACGAATTGCTCTTCACCGATTCTTCATACACTTTCATTCCAACTCCATTCCCAACGTGCTTCTATTAGGGGAAGCATTTCATTCTCTGCAAAGACACCAGTGAAATCGAATGTGTTAATCAATAGAAAAATCATGAAGCCTCTTCAAATAAGAGTAACCGTTTATTACCTGTCTTTCAACTTCAACGGCTGATGCAGCTAATCTGAGCTTCAAAATTGATCTGTCTTGCTCACAATTTTCTGTCTCTGTATCTGACAGTAAATGCAGTGAACAAGATTCAAAAACAGAAAGTATCCAACACACAATTATTACAGTTTTGATAAAAATTATAAGAACGCTGAACAAAAACAAGCAACCTCAGACATTACTTTTTTCTATCACCAAATGTTAGAATGTTAGTAGTCATGTTAGTAGTGAACGGCAGAGAGACATTGTTTCCATCTATTTGTGAGAGTTTGTCTCCCACTACTTTAAAGAAGTTCCCAAGGGTCGTGTGATAGAAACATTGTTGTATTTGGAAATGGCAATGATTAGAGGACTATACTGGTAAGATTGGGAGATCATCTTTATTAATAATAGGCTTTGGAAAATTCAAGATTCAAAACCCATTTGAATAACAAGGAACTAGTCTCGTCTTCATATGATTTATTCTCCTTACAATAAAATCTACAAACTCAAATTACTTAAGTTTATTTTCCACCATTTTTTTACTCAACTTTACTCTTAGCAGTTTCACTCCACCACCACAATTTTTTACCTCTAGGTTCTAAACTTTTTTATTCCCTGAACGTCTCTTTAGCCACTTTTCTAATCTTTTTGTGTCATCTTGTACCACATATCATTTCCACTTCCTTGTATGTGTCTAAGACCCTCTCCAAGATCTTGTGTCGGAAACTCTGTTGTTTTTCATTCCTCAAATGTCATCACTTGATTCGTGGAGATTTCATGTGGCTTCTTCTCTTCGCTCTCTTCTTGACTCTTACATTCATAACCAATGTTCTATGTTGGATAATCAAGCTCTCTCCACATATAGATTCACAGTCCACGCAAATCTTCCTATCTAATTTTTTAATAAGAAATAAATTTGTCTAAGAAGATGTCACCCCACTCTTATATGTGATAAGATGTTCATTTAGATCTCCTAAAAAAATCTTCTCACTTTGGGGTATTTCTTGAAATAAACCTTTAAATCCTCGCAAAATTTTACTTTAAAGTGTTATGCAAACTTAACTTGAAGGTGTGTACCCACTAATAACATTAAAGGTATCTTGTTCCACTGCAAATTTAAGGGCTATGATCCAATCTCTTATTCTTTTTACAACTACAATATCATTTTTCCACTCCTTGTCTACAATGATTCTCACCTCATTTTTCGATCTAACTTTGTCGGTGTACCAAAGCTTAAATCACGAGTTGGTCTAATTCTTTTGCTTTTTCACCTGTCCATTTAGTCTCTTGAACACACGTAAAGGTGATCTTCCTCCTAACCATAGGGTTAATTATTTCCATATATTTTTCCAGTAAGTGTGTCTATATTCTAGATTCCAAAACACATCTTATTTTCATGAACTAACTTTTTTACCCACACTCATTCACGAAAATGTGGGAATCCCAACTTATTTTTCACCACTTCTAGGCGGCGATACAACGACCCATACTCATTTGATATTGTACTCGAGTCATACATCGTGTTACTTCTGAGCAACGACTTAGCATTCACATTATTACGTATTTGATCTATGTCATAGCGAATAAGTGATTCAACAAAATTTTACGTTAGTTGTTGACTGTCTAACACAAACTCTCCTTTCATCCGAACTTGAGACCTGCTATGCATAGTAAACTTAATGATGGAGTTGGTGGTGATTTAATCACAAACAGTTCAGCTATATGGAGTAAAATTGTTCCCTTAAAAGTTATGGAATAATTCATGTAGAGACTACTTAACGACAGACTGCCCACATAGGATAATTTAGAGAGGGTAGATTCTTCGGGTTGGGTCACAATTTTGGAGGAATATTGCAAGATATACAGGGCTTAGAACCATTTGGCAGACCATATTGGAGTGGTTGGGTTTCACTGGTGATTTCTTAAATGAAGTAGTGCTTAAATTTTCAAAAGTCTAGCGATTCAGTAAATAGTGGAAATGTGCTAAAGATTTGCTAACACCCAAAGAAAAAAACCATTAGGCAGAAAATTTCAAAACAGGTGAAACTATAGAGATTAAATGTTTAGTTCAACATAAAAGCAACAAAGATAACTATTTTTGCTTTTCCATAAACAGAAAAAGAAAAGTAAAAGACTTGTGATTGAAAGATTCTTACCATAGTAATATGATGAGAGAATGGTAATGCGCTCCATTGGCTGGAAAAGGTAAAAACAAGTTCTAAGCACGGAGGAAGAAACATGTAGTGCGATTATCAACTTAACACTGAAAGCTTAATTTAAAACAAAATATCAAAAGATAATTAAGAATGTGCACATTTGTTGTACTAGAAAGCCAGCTAAACTAAGATAGAATTTAGCCGATAGATCAATTCATTTTTGCCATAACCATAAGTCTCTCCATCTTTTCCCCAAGCTTCACCTCAAAGTAACACAGTCAAAGCATGTAAAAGAGCAATGCACAAGAAGGATAAGATTTTCGAAGATACCATTACAAATATTCCCTCTTTACGAGTAGGTAGTTGCTCAAGCTTTGCCAATGTATCGTCGCCTTTTGTAACTTTTCCAAATACTGCATACTGAAAAAGGGCTTACACCAACATATATTAATTGAAAACATCACAAAAGTGAATCTTCACAATTATGTTTTGAGGTTATAGTTACCTCACCTTCCCATCAAGATGAGGAGAATTTCCAAGTAACATTGAAAAAGAGGATCCACCACTATCTGGATCCTCATGCCTGTAAGAACAAACTGCACTTATTAGGTCTTCCAACAATTGATCAAACCAAAGGTGAAAATGATTTCTGAAAACTAGAGTGTGAGCGTGTGCGCAGACATGGTAATAGCATTAAAAGCGAGTCTATGTGAAGCTCAAACAAACTCTCAGCAGTTTATTGAAAATGACTCGATGCAATAAAGCAAAAACATCACATTGGCGTCAAAATTAAGCAACTAGTAGCTGAAAATATGTTGATTTTACATTCAAAGATAGAACCAAATATTTGAACTGAAGCTAAATCTAGTATAGAATGGAACTAACAATGAATTGTAAAACCATATATGCAACTTAATGACAAACAAAAGAGAAAGAACGACATGTAACAACGAAGAATTGTCGTCATAAGAGACCTAACCTTCCCATGGAAAGAATGCCGCGAACATGCTTGACATCACTAAATTCACCAACAACATTCTTTTCAGCTACTCTTCTTTGTTCCTCATTCATGGGAGCAGATCTTCCATTTGCAACATCAGCTACTTGGGCTACAAATCCCTTATCCACCTGAGCATTGAATTAACCAAAACCATTCACTTGCACTGCAACATCAATACTACAATTACACCCAACAACTTCATAAATACTCAACACTCACTTGCTTTGTAATTGTTTTCAAAAGAACAATACCCGAAAGAAGTGATTGGTGTTATAGCCTCCAAGTCTCACAAGCTTAAAAATGTGGTCAACAGTTTTAGGTGCAACAGTTGGATAGAAACCAAATTCAATGTCTCCATAATTTGTCTGCATTCACAAACACAAGAACCTGATTAAGCACGGGACATACGAAAATAGCTTATGACATATGTCCATATGACCATGTGTTTTCTTAACTTACTTACATAAGCTATACAGGTTAGCTTATGGATGATAATTTATGGAAACAGCTTATAGCTTATATAAAAACAATTTGATTTGATTTTATCTTTTGCTATATCAATTTGAAGAAACAAGTTATCAATTCTACAAAGCTAGCAAAACGATATGAGGTTTTTCCCTGAGTGAACTACTTGATTCAAATTTTCATTCATTTCTCAAAATGGGGTCCACTGTTTGAGCTTGCCAATCACTCAAAGACACAACGGAGTACAGATAAATACATTCACAGCAATAACCATGGAAGCAATCGAAATGGATTAAACTATGTTCAAGCTTTGACCTTTTACTACAAAATCAAAGAATTATATAAGTAAAATGATAAAAACGGTAATTCTGATCAAGGAAACCTGAAAGACGACGCGGGTTGATCCGAGTTTGGGTTCGAGAGAAGAGATCACAGTCGCAAAAGCCAACAAAATAGAAACCCTAATCTCAAGGCTCCACATTTCAACCAACTTTAAGTCAACTGTTGGAAATTCAGAAATCTGTGTGTTGCTTGTTTTGTTGGCTGGACGCTGATGAATTGACGTATTAGGGTGTGTTTGGTTAGAAAGAAATGGAGAGGTGTCGGGTAGCTATGAATTATTTTAAGATTTTGTTTTCATTGATGGAATCAGATGGAACTTAAGAGAGTAGAATGGAATGAGATGAACTAAAATGATATTTTATTATTTGAATTATTTAAAATTCTATGAAACGAAGCATAATGAAATCATATGATAAGTGGCAATTTATCTTTTTCTCCGGGTCGATGCATGATAAGTGGCAATTTAATCGTCAATTGTTGAGATTAAAAGTTTAAATAAACTTAAATTAGAATATTAAATGTAGTTTTTGTAGTCCCTCTAACCTCTCCTTCATTTCTTTATCTTTGTCATTGTTGTTGTATATTTGTTTTATTGTCTATCTCATGCAATCTCTTCTATCTTGCATTTTCCTTGTTGTTTTTTATTGTCTTTTTGATATATTATTTTTTATTTTGTCTTTTTTTTTATCGATGTTTATGTTTGACATATGTATTGTCTCTTTGTTGTATCATTTTATATCTCTAATATATTGTTTCATCTTAGTATTGTATTGATTCGTATCGTCATTGTATTACTCTGTAATTTTGCCATATCGCTTCATAGAGAACATTGTGCAACGAGTTTAAAGGAGTACATTGCTCGAGCTTAATGCCTTTTAATAAAGAAAAAAGAGATGTTAAGGGAGTACATTGATAGGTTCACCGAGAAAGCTATTAAAGTGGTAGGAGCTAATGACAAACTGAAATGCTAGATTTTTTAGAAAGGTTTGAGGGAGACATTAGGATTAGAGGAGCCGCATAGATGATCAATCTACTTGCTCGAGCTCAACCCTGCATCAATAGCAAAGAGAAATTGTTGGGTGAAAACATTAAGAAGAATAAGACAACAAGAAAACAAGGAGATAACAAAAATCATGAAAATTGGGATAAGGAGATGAACAAGGGGCCTTGGTCCAGATTCTCAAAGTATACCTCGTTGAACAAATCAGAGGAAGAATATGTTAATAGAGAATTTAAGGAAGTTAAAGTGAAATACCCTCATACCGTGAATAAGTCAGCACATGTTAACAAAACAAAGTGTTGTAAGTTTCATGAATGTCATGGATATGAATTGATGAGTGTACTCATCTGAAGGACGTTATTGAAGACTTAATCCAGAAAGATAGACTTGGTCAATACATCAAAGAGGATGAACGAAAAGGGAACAATAAGTGGCACAAGGATTCTCCACGGAAATCCATCAGTCAGAGCGAATCTTCACACATAAAGTGTTCCCTTGTGACGAGGTGGTATTCCATTTGGGAAGACAATTGAAGAAATCAAAAGAAATATCAAAGGAAAAGATAGCAGTGACAAGGAAATTACAAAAAAGAGAAGTGATCCTTTGTTGCATCCATTTAAGGAGGTTACCATTTAATTTCATCAATCATGTGACGATTTCTAACACCGAAGATTGAAGGTGTGAGAAAACACAAGAAATAGGGGGGTTTGAACTGGGTTTTCAAAAATGAAAGCTTTTTATGAAACTCAAACAAAGATCACAAATAGACTAATCAAGAAAGAAAGACACACAATATATCCTAGTTCACTTGAAAACTATCAAGCTAATCTAGTCCACCCGCCAAGGTGATTTCGCCTTATACACAAGGACTTAATCCACTATAATCAACAGATTACACTACACTAGCAACAACTAGTGACTAACAACACAGACTAACCGTCTCTTTTTAAGGATTCTGACCTAACCGGTCCCTTAAGGAATTACAATCTGCACTAGCAATTGTTGGTGACTAACAACAAAGACTAACCGTCTCTTCTTAAGGATTCTAACCTAATCGGTCCCTTAAGGAGTTACGAACAACAATTTGAACAAATATGTTTACAATGAAATTGCTTCTAACTAAGCTGATATAAACACTATTAATAGCTAAAATGTCTTAAAGACACTAATACAGTATGAACAATATTCTTTCTTTGTATTGTAGTACTTCAATACTGTAGTTTTAGTTCTTCATAGATTGCTTTCAATCAAAGTGTAACCTTTGTATCAATCGTTGTAAAGCTTCCTTTTGTTCTTCAAGTAATCAAGTCCTTATATAGCCAGAAAAAGATCTGTTGGAGGGCAGATCAGGAATATCCTTTAGATAGCTGGCGACTTGAAATAATATTGTTACGTAGGGATGAAAATCATACATAAAAGTTGTCATTTGTACCACCAAATCAGGATAGTGGAATGAAACGTTAAAACATACTATGTATTATTTTCCCTCGTAAACGTTTGAGCTTCTCTTCTTTACATCAGAGGCTTCTAAATAGAGATGATTGAAGCATGAGTAGAAGAGTTAATCAGTAGGTCTTCAGAGTCTTGAGTCTTCAGAACTTGTTCACCAGAACCTTGTCTTCAGAACTATAAGCACTCAGTCTTCAGAACCTTCCGTCACCAGTAACTTAAGTCTTCAGAGTCTTCAGAACGTCGTTCAGCATAACTTTGTCTTCAGAGTCTTCAACACTTATTCTTCAAAAACTCAAGTCTTCAGAGTCTTCAGAACTTCGTTCAACAGAACCTTGTCTTCAGAGTCTTCAGCACTTAGTCTTCAGAAGATAATGACTTCAGAAGCTATAAAGCCTTCAGAAGTAAAATATCAGAGTCATGATCAGAAGCAGAAACCAAGAGAGCATTGCAGCAATAAAATATTGTCTTCTTAGAATCTTTCTGAATGAGAGTAGATCAGAAGCAGACTTGCTTCTTATAACGCACAAGCGACTTTGGTCATATTAGAGTAATCACTGAATATGATCTTTATCAGAGTCAAAACTTTCTCTATTAGAATCAGAACTTGTTTGTTAATTCTTCAAACAAACAAATGTTAGAATATCAAAATTGTTCTCACACAAATACCACTTTATTATTATCAAAACTTAGAGATATCTTGCAGAACCAAATCTTGTTCTAACGAAGATGTCATCCAAGGGAATCGTCATAAGGAAAATAGCAGAGTTAATGTCAGTTGACCATAATCAGAAATCGACTTCAAGCAATAGTTCTGGATGGCCCATTATGGGTTTTATTGAGCCAAAGGATGGAAGGGAACCCAATTAAAAAAATTTCGTTAATAATCAGGACTATTATGGAAAGTTTTGATGTTTCGTATATTTTCTTTGACCAAGGGAGTTCGTGCAACATTATGTATGCTGATTTATTCACCAAGATAATTTTAATAAAGGAAGTTTTAACACTATACACAGAAACATGTTTGCAACGCTTCAATGAAATAGTAACATGTCCTTGGGGCTCATCGAGCTTTTGGTTACCTTTGGAAAGAAAATAATGGCAGGACCATAGATGTCTGATGATGACAGTTTGTTATTACATGATTTTTATGAGTATTTGCGATGAATTCAATGAAATCTCAAGCTAAAGATGAACTAAATATGAAGAAGTATGAAGAAAATGAAGAAGTCGAAGAAAAAGAGTAAAGCCAAGAAATCGGGAAGAAATTGTAAAGAAACAAGCAATTTTTAGCATAATTTATATCTTGACATTTCTCTAGTAAATTGATCATATCTGGAGTTTCGTAACTTATTTTGACGCGAGTTTTTTTTTTTAAAAATGAAGCTAAGACAATTATCTACATTATAGAACAATCACGTGTGTGATAAAAAGTATCGCGCACACGATGCATCATGTTTAATATGCGTGCACAATGGAATAGTGACGCGCGTGATGGTACCTTTTTAGGCCTTTTCTGACGCGTTTCAGATCCATTATGACTGCTTTAAAGGGTATTTTCTTCACTTTTTCAAGGGGGAACAAAGGTTACATAAATTGGAGCCTATGGCATGAATTTGGGAGCACAAAAAGAGATTTTGAGACAAAGTTCTGCTTTCTATCCATAGTTTGAGACTGTTAATTCCCTATGATGACCTTCATTGGGAATTAACAGTCTGTACATCGCCTAACACTGTTTACATTGGCGGATTATGGATAGAAAGCTCTAAGTAGTTGTTAGTGAGTTATTTTGCAGGGGACTGGCTATAGCAGTTTTGTTAATTTTCCATGAGATTATAAGGATAAGACCATTCATGCAAGGCATCATACATCAACAAGAGAGGATAAGAGGATTCTAAAACACAACCTGACCGCTTTTGTGACATTGTTTTCTCGTTTATTTACCTTTTGTAGTGAAACATGCAAAATCCCCCTTTTTACTATTTTATTTTAAATTGCACAAATCATTGTCTTGTTCGAACATAGTTCTTGTGGGTTCGATCTTTTTATTATTGCGACATTATCGGTACACTTGCCGAGAAGTCATCATCTGACTTTTAATAGTTCCATGAAAATTAGTCTATAATTAGATTTTAGGAAGATCCACCATAAGAGCCTTAAGAGTGGTGACTTACATTGTGTTGGGTGAGAATATGGAAACAACAATCTCTAGAATGAGGGTTAAATAGACCCAAAATCCTTTTAGACAATTTGAATAAAAAATTAGGTCACATATAACGAAATCAGAGATTTTAAGAAGCCCAGAAGTAAAACATAAAAACGAGAGCTTCGAAGCATCTCAAAGAATCAATGTCATATGAAATGGTACATGAGGTTGATTACTTCTAGTGCAAAGCACTTACATGACAACTAAAGTTGCTATAATCGAAGCGAAATAAAAAACACGTTACTTAGATGTTCTTAACAATGCATAATTAACTTCATGATGATTCCTCAAGATTGATACACCACATACCTAAGCTTATACAATAAATTGTTATAAGCAAGGTCTAACACATATGGTATACAATCAATGTTATCTTGCAAATATGAACGAATGCATGCTTGTAAATTAAAAAAGATATGGGAAGGGAAAGATACATAAAGACTTATAGTGCTTCGACATTCGTCCTCGCTTTGCCTACATACAG